TAATTTAGAATAAATTAGTGAGAAGTGGTTAATTTTAGACAATGGCCACCTGAAAGTAATGCAAGTGGTGTATTTGTAGCTAAAGATAATTGGAATATTATTCCAACTGAAATCGTTTCGTGTCGCAGTAAGTATTTTCTTAAAACATATTTTACATTATCATTCTATTGTCAAATATTTTGCATTTGTTATAAATTTCAAATTAGACAAAAGTGAAAAAATAAGCGGAAAAAAAAAGCAAGCAAACTAATGTTTGAAATTATGACATTTTATAGTAAAATAGTTGACATTTAAAAATTTTCTCATCAGATATTAATTTTTAATTTGATTTGTACATTCAAAAAAAAAAAAAGAAGAAAACAAGAAAAATCTTATTTTTAAACTTTTTTTTGAATATTTCACTAATGGTAATTGATAAAATTAATTAAAATATTAATTGAATTAATAGAATTATAGTAAAATTATTGATTGCTGAAAAATTTTTTATATTCAAAATTGTGTCGAGGAGCATTTTTCCAAAAATATATTAGCTATATGTTACCTATACGAGAATGAAGACTGAAAGTAAATTGTATCTTTGTATTTAAAAAAAAAAAAAATATTTTTAAGTTAATAACTAAATTAACACAAACATAATTTTATAACTTCATCCATTTCTTTCTCTCTTTTTTTCAATTAAATATAAATTGAATTGATAATTTCATACATCTTTTCATTTTTGCTTCTTTTCAGTTATTGAATTATATGTTTTATCATTTCTAAGAAAACCGAAAATGAATATTTCAAGCGTATTTTTAACATTTTTTTTTTCTCACTGATAAATTTCCCTTTAGTTTGATCAATGAAATATTCAAGATGTTCTCACTTCCATCTATTTCTTTTATTTTACTTTTCACTTCCACTTATTCCAGCTAAGAAGAGTAAGCTAATATTTTCAGGAAAAAAAAAAGCCTTCTTTTCTTTTGCTCGAATTGCTTTAGAAAAAAAAAAATTTACATCTACATCACTACTCATTGATAAATTTTTCTATGAACATAAACACACACGCATACGTACACGCACACACGCACACGTATACGTACATGTTTCTAAATATTTAATAATTTTTTTAACAAAGTATTTAATTAATATTCTGAATCAACTATTACAAACTAATATAATTGTTGACGTCATAAAATGAAATGCAAGAAGATTAGAAAAAAAAAAACTTTTTTCCACATCCTTTTTTTTTTCGTCTCATTTCTATTTTCATATAATTTTAGCAAATTCATTTAAATTATTTAAAGTAACTGAATAAACGAAATATAATGCAATATTCCAAAAAAGTGTTTCAATGCATTCAATGAGGAAAAAAAAGTGCAAAAAAAAAAAAATGTAAAATTCACAAATATTGGAATAATAATCTTTTGTTAATAATATTTGCAATTTTCATACATTTATTTTTTAAAATTATTATAAAAGTGAGAAACTGTGTTGCAGTAAATTATTTAGAATAATGTAAAATGGAGAATTGATTTATTTTAAAATATTTATTAGCAATAAAATAGTGTAACTTTCTTTTTTTTTTTACTCTAGTTAATTAATTATATGTTTGATCCATTTTTTTTTTAAAAAATAATACCACTAATCCCTTTTTAATTTTTTTTTTCTTTAAAAAAAAATAAAATTATGCAACAAGTGTATTCATTTATTCTCCTTTGTTTGCTTTTCTTTTTATTTTTTCCAACTAAACAATTCATTATTTGCTGATAGCATGCATAGCTGTAATTAGTATGCTTATAGTTGAAGATAAATGATGAAAGATAATAAATTAAGGTCTAAATGAAATTAATCGTTATAAAATATAAAATACTACTGATTAGTATTAATTGAATTAATACTAATTAATTAGAGTATTAATGGATAAATATTGTATTGAAGATTAATAATTAAAATATCGACAATAGTCCTTTTTTTTTTTTTTTTTTTTAATTCCTTTAATTAAAATGAAACAATATGATTAAAGATATTAAAAAAAAAAAAAAAAATTTTTTTTTAAAATCTTATCACTTAGTTTATTGTTTAAGATTTAAATGGGATTTTCTTTTTTTCTTTTTCTTTCTTTTAAATCTAACAATAACAATAGAAATAAATGTAAAAGTAAACAATAGGATGAAGTAAAACAAACAGGAAACAAAGAGGGAAGAAAAAAATTAGGAATAACACTACATGTTTCCGTTATGATTTATTGGATTAACTATTTTAAGATTTAATAGAGAGTATGATAGAAAGGAAACCCTAAGCTAAGAATCAATTAAGTAATTCATTTCGCTCACTTCCGCTTATTACTGCTGTCGTTACCATCGTTACCGATGACAACAATACAATCAAACCAAAGAATATTTAAAATAGCAAGTGAAATGAAGAGAAACCAAAATTCCATAGCATCATTATTTATCCATAACTTTTTTTTTTTTTCTTTTATTTCGTTTAACGTCATATTATTATTATTATTATTTATCAGTGAAAAAATTGTTGTTGAAATGGTATTGTTAAAGGAGTAATGGAAAGAAGTGTGACAGATAAGTGGACAACACGTGATGAAAAAGGTGATATTATGGATGAATGGTCAATGAAAAGTTGGAAAGGTGAAAATGATGGATTAAGACGTCGTGATAATGGTACTGGTGAAACATGGCATCGTAAAGTAGAGATATCAGCAGATGGAAAAGCATCATTTGTTGATAACAGGCGCTTTTATACACGTGATTATGTTGTTGAGGTATAGTTAGCGCATTAGTCAATAGCAAACTGATAATATATTAGATAATCACAATTGAAATATTATTTTTTGGATGCAATTATTAGATTCATTTTTTCCGTAAACGTGAAACTAGAAGAAATTAATCAAAGATTGAATTCTTTGAATTATTCCAGTTAATAAAAAAAAATTATGAAAAATTTTGTGAAATTTAATTTCATTGTTTTTTCAGAGTGAAACTCGCAATGCATAAGTGTTAGCCACAATGTTCACCTCGAAATCTTCGTTTGAATTTGAAAAAAAAAAAAAAAAAAAATTGTGTTTTTTTATTTTTTACTTAGATGAACTACTGAAGAATTGTGAAACAAAAATTGAAAAACTAAAGTTATAACAGAAATAAAATAGAAAGAAAAACCTATAGAAAATGATAATTTCATCATCATTGCTTCATTGGAATTCATTTGAAATTATATTTATGAATGAAAAAAAATCCCAAATTTTCCTTTAAATTTTAAATCATTAATGAAGAGAAATACAATTCTTCATCTCAATAACATGTCTTCTTTGTTTTCAGTTCTTGTTGTTTATATTTACTGAATAATAATGTGCCATTATTATTCCCAACATCATTTTAATTTTGTGTGCAAAATTTCGTGCCATTATTCTTTTTTTTAACCTACTTTTTTTTTTGCATAAAATAAACGTCAAATATTAAGTTACACTGGGTTGTTTTTTCTTTTTTTTTTTATTTCGCAAAAGAGATACTATATGATTCGTATGTAATATCACACATATTGTTTATATTATGCTGAATGAAAAGAAAATAAAATAGAAAAAAAATTTATCTAGTGAAAACATAATTTTTCTTTTACATTTCGAAAAAAAAAAAAGAGGAAACTTTCAAAAAGATTTGAAAAATATTTCAACAATTCCAATTTAGCGTTAAAAAGCGTTTCATAAAATTAGAAATTCGCATATTTTACAAGGATTGACTGTATGTTTTAGTTTATGCTATAATTTCTGTGATTGACACTTCAATATGTCAGGACGCGACAGTATATACTACGTCAAGTGTGTATTAAACTATCAACATTATCACGTAGATCACGGGAGAATCACGTACGATTGTTTAATGTGCAATTGTTGCACATCGAAATGAAGCACTAGATCTTGGTTGGACTCTTCAAGTACTTTTTTCCAAGTATTCTCATTTCAGTTTGCTGTTGAAAAGATACAATTCTTATCTAACCTTTTGCATAACACATTTCATGCATTCTCCTAAAAATTCTGAACTTAGCGTTGTAATCTCCATTTTTCATTCACATATAAAAGGTCACTAAAATTGAATTAATAGGGGATGTAAAGTAAACTGTTATTTACCTTGGAAGCCAAAAAAAGAAAGATAATGGATAGCATGGAAACGTTAAGCGCGTAAACTGAACATTACAAAAAACATTTATTTAAAACACTTTATTTACAGGTAAAACATTTCATTGAAAACACTTTATTTACAGATAAAACATTTCATTTAAAACACTTTATTTACAGAAAAACCTTTTACCCTTATTTTCGTAAATGTTTTTTAAAGAAAGGGAAATAATAAAAATGAGGGATGAGGTAGAACTCAGAATCCAAGCGATGGATGACAGAGAATGAAATTAACTTCGCAAACAAGGAATAAAATAAGAGACGAAAAATGCAACAAAGTTCATAAAGAACAGCTTAAATAAATTAAAAGATAACCTTATTAAAGAACAGTTACGGAGAAGTCGTAAAGTGGCGAGAAAACGAAATGGAGAATATTTTGATGAATCAAGAATAAAATCTAATCATTTATGATTTAAACAGTTAACATGTACGCCCACAAACAAGAAACATCTACATTCGAGACTGGGAACAATCCCTTTTTATTGTGTAAAATATCTTGAAAAGGACACTTAATGAACCCATTTGAAATAATTTTTTAATAATGAAAATATTTGCAAAAGAAAGCTCTAAAGACTTTATCCCTAATGATATCTCCGACGTCGAAAACTCAAATAACTATTATACCCTCACGATAAGTCTCTCAGATTCTCAACTTACATAATTCTTTATTCTTGCAGCTGAGCAGTAAAGTATTTTAATAACCCTTATATAAATGAAGTTTGTACGTGCCAAAGAAGAGCTGACGACTCGCTCTCGATAACGAATTTTACTGATAGAAACGGTGGTGATATCTGCGCCGCATGGAGTAGTTATGGAGATGAAAAATGTAATTCTATTTGAAAAATCTGAGGTTTCTTTTTGATACCGGTTTGTGACCCGTCATACCGTTGTATTGATGGGTGAAATTCCAGCATGAAACACAATAGTAGAGGAAACAAGGAAGATAAGGGCACAAGTAAACACCGGCAGCTTCGTAACAAATCTCACACAACATTCGATCGAGCATGTATGGTCTCAGTTCCAGCTAAAAGTTGCATTTGTTGAAAAATTTGAGTATACTGTTGAATGTTTTTGTATTGCTAAATATTTCAACGTGAAGCGAAAATGGATGTGATTATATTTTTGAAAGCTTGAAGGTGGAACATATCTTTGGAAACTTTATCATTGACAATTTTAGCAGTGAATAAATCGAATGGAATAAAATAAGCCTTTCAGGAAACCTCGTGCATAATGAAGGTATACTAGAAAGCGTTGAATAGTCAGATAAAGTTGCTTAGAATGGAAACTTTCTTCATTACTTCCAAAACTGATTTCAGCTAATGCCTAATATATGTCGATAAAAAAAGTACAAAACCTGTGCAAATTTGAAGATTTTTCCTTTCAAGAAAAACTTACTATGACTTTTCGACCATCAGTTATGGTTAATGTAAAGTAACGAAAAGCAAGAGCTAAAAGGTACGCTTCACGACTCGCGAAAACCAATCGTCCCGATCCTTTTGGAGAGTACCGATAAGCAAGTGGTACACAAACAAGCAGAGTACAACTCGAACCACTCAAATACCAGGGTCTCACTTTGCACCTATTATTATCATACATTATTAAAGAAAAAAACTGTCAATATCTTCAACCTATCTCTTGATTAATTATGAGCAACTTACTTTAGCTTCATCTAGAAAAGTTAAAAATTTGAAATTGTTTAGCTGTGCAACCTAAACTTCAAGAGTAACACTTCTAAAATAGCGAACACTTGATCTATCAATTTTTTGGCAAAATAATTTATACTTCCCCAACAATATTGTTCCATTAAACGAAAGTGCAAAATTATACATTTTCCATTTTAATCTCAACAAATCAAAGACACAATAAAATTTATGATAATTCCTTTTGTACAATAAAACCATTATCACGCTACCACGAGAATTTAGGGAAATCTTCAAATAAGCCATACTTTTGCAATAATACTATTAATGCAGCGTGGAACAATTTCATTCTTGATCCGACTATTCTTGACCATCGTCGTCTAACGATATACTGTTGTTTCTTATGTTCGCATTAATAAGCCAAATAAAAAAAATACTGTTTGAGAAAAGCCATATTCTAGTTCGTTTATCAGAAGATGTGTTATTGAAGAAACACCATGGTCCCCAGCACCGATAAAAATTGAAGACAAATCTTCGCTTGTTTGATCATGCTATCATGAATTCTCATTCTAATCTCCTTGCTGTTGCAGTTGAAATCATATAACAGTTTGGTGAAATACTAATTTAAAGACTAAAAGTGCCAAGAGATACATGACAAATCATCCTATCATATTTCATTAATTGCATAACACTTGCAATCTGCAAATAATGGGTATAAAATCCTGCTCACTATCACTTTTCCTTGGAATTTAGGCGACATCGAACAGTGTTGATATATACAGCAAGGCACATTATTGTGTCTCATTTCTTTTAGCAACAAACTATAATGATAAGAAAAAGTGATCTAAAGCAGCTGCTTGAAGCATATATTCAATTGGATTACTGTCGATAAAAGGATCGTGATACAGTAGGGTACAAAGCGTATCAAACTTTTAGCTGCCAAATTAGCAAAAATGTTCTATATACTAAACTAACCATTTTGACCAGTACGTCACCGTTCTTCATATCGATAAACAATTTTCCTTGCTTTATATCACTCGCATAAATAAGTCGACGAACTGCATGCTTATTTTTGAATATGATAAACGCATATCCTGCAATATTTGTTCCGAAATTTGTCCACCAGTTTCTTCTGTTTATGCCTTTTATGCATCATTTTTTTAACGGCAGAAGAAAACTTATAAATATTCAACAGAACTGATTTAGATAATCTTATCTATACAACAGCTTTATCATATATTACAAAAACGATATAACGAATAAACTGTTTCGTGGAGCCGCGACGTTACAGCAATTACGATGTGGTCAATCAACGAAGTTAGGGCCATACCGATTACATCTGGAAATTCAGTGAATATTCATTAAAATTGGAGTGTATTAAACAAACAAAAGAATTTGGCTGTTTTATAAAACAATAAAAAAAGACAAAATCGGCAGAACCCTTTGCCTGGATCAACATCGTAAGGGAGATCACCGATGAACACTTTTGTAGAATAGACGGGAAATTACCAGGCCGTATTTTGCGTCAGCTGAAAGTTGAAGTCATCATCGTCAGATACAGATGTTTCTAAATTAGTAAAGGCTCATGAAGTATTAAAGACGGAAGCAAAAATATTTTAAATTGTCACAGCCATATGAAGAATCAAAATTTACATTAACATCTGCTGCCTATATTATTTAGTTTTACTTTTGTATTACTTTTCCTTTGTTTAAATTTTCAGTAAGAGTGGTGATGTACTTAAATATGGCTGGTTCTCTATCAAGGCAATTATTCTGGAATGAGAATCGAAATGTGCTTGAAAGCAATTTAAGAACCCTGAGGTTTTGATGATTTTGCAGTAAATTCTCACTTTTAAGCTGAAGTTCTTCTAAAGAAAAATTTTGCGATATTGTTCTGGAGATTCGCACTTTTTTTCATGAAATTTGTTTTTTGAAAATAAAAGGGATAAATTTCATTTGCTGATTATCGGAATTAATCAAGCGGTAATATACCACTCATTTCGGTGCCTAGGTATAATCCAAGTAGTGATCCTTCAGCTACAAAATTTTTATTATCATCATATATCCATAATGTTATCCAAATTAGATATATGAAAGCTTTATCAATCTTTAACTTGCATCTTATTGAAAACATATACTTCTCTTTTTCTGTTTTGAAGTTTAGTTATCACTTCCAAACAACCAATTAATTAAAAAAAGTACCCAGTTCAGATGTTTTGTCTTGTTTATTCATTATAAAAGTTATTGTGTAGAGGAACGCTTGGCGTAGATGAAGAGATAAGTAAATATTCTAAACATAATAAAAATTAAGTGCTATTGTTGAGAACTGAGAAACACTGGACAAAAAAAAAAAAACACTCAAATAACATCATATGTTACTTAATAAATTCCAATCTAACACAATGCAACATAAACGCAGTGAATCCCAGATAATTCAAACTCACCAAATGTACTGATTCATCAATCAGTCAACTAAACCAGTTAACCAAGCGATCAATCTCATTAACCAATTAAGCGATCAACCAACCACTCACCAACGATCAACCAAAGCGAACAACCAATCAACCGAAGCGAACAACCGAATCAACCAATCAATCAACTATTTAGCAACCGTTCAATTACGAATTAATGAATGACTATTACATTCTCTCCCAAATGTTCCTCAAACAACAGGGAAAAGATACCAGAAATCCCAGAGCAGCAGGACTATTCGTAATTTGCACGCAGTATTGATGTTATCCTTACGCTTATAGAACGTGCCAAGTTATACAAATACGTGCAACTTTTGAAAAGACATTTCCTTCCATTGAATATGGTATATATTGATTGGATGATAGCTTCTTCCTTCCTCGTCTGTTAGACGTAGGTTACGTTTCCTCGTGGCATATGTGAGCTAATCTCTTTCGAGATTCAAAACTGGCACTTTTCTGACTTGATTTGATTTAAAAAATTGGAATCATCTGGTCTGATTCAAAAAAACTTTTAGCTAATATACTTCACTTCTCATTTTTGTTTGTTGTAAATGTATAAAAAAAAAAGATCCATTTCACCGCCGGTAGAATTTTATTTAACACCATCATGATCAAAGCTACCGTGTGGCACAGAAACAATACAGTAAAATACCGGAAAAATTCTTTTCATTAACCACAAAGGTTAAACATTTATAACTGTCTAATATATCGATTTAAAAATGAAACCGTTATTTCACAAGTGCATAAGAGTTAAATGGAATGGGCAAGAAAAGAAAAGACCCGATAATAAGATTATTCTGCTCGTTTTCTCTTTTTTAGGAATTTGTCCAGAGTGGATAATCCAGGAAATCCTCGCTCAGGTCAATTTACAAGAATTAAAAATAAATTTTAAAAGGATTAAAAATAAATTTTACATAGAACAAGAAAAGCTGAGAAATGAAGGAGAGGAATAGATAGATGATTTGAGTTAAATTATTGTGAATTTTTAACAAGATAATCATAAAAACATTCTTTCATTTCATACAGGATCAGCAACAACACCGTACATTATATTTAACACTACGATTTTAATATTGTTGAGAAGTATTTGTAAATTTCTTGAAGAAATTTTTTTGAAATCAATTTGCTTTTCCCGTCAAACCATTGTGGAATGTGTGAGACTCCGAACCACCATGTCCATAACCTTTCGGTCCAAAAAGTGCTCCGTAACAGTGGTTGCAATATGGCTTCCCTTGGCGCTAAAAAAAAGCAACAAAGATTTTATAACCATATAATGCCAAAGTTATTTTATTAAAGAATCAAGTATAACAACCTTTCAACTATCTAACGATGATCTCTGTTTGACTACATTTTTTGGATGAATGAATGGAATAAATAGACAATTTTTTAAAATTTCTCAAATACAGTTCGAACCAATTTTAAAAATCCGCTTTTATGGGGTAATTTCCCCTTTTATTCCATCTAAATCGCTACTTTTCATCCTAATACTATATTATTTACAACCTATTTTGGGCATTCATTTCAACTCTTTCCTAACCATATTTCCTAAATTTCTGATACTGTCTTCTTCCTCGCCTTTATACTTCAGTTGTTCATCACTGTAACGAACACCTAACACTAATGTTTCCCCTTTCCATCAACAGTTCAATCAATAGAAATGTAATTCAAACCCATCACTTCCTATTTCTGTTAAAATAAACTCTGCGATTCTTCCTAATTAATAACTTTCAAGTACCAATCAAAACCGTTAAAAATCTTCAAGGCATCAAATAGCAAAGCGATAAAAATTAAAAAAATAAAATTAAATAGATTTACTGTGGTTAATAACTATACGATCAAAAATGAAAATGCGTTTGAAATTATTCCACATTTCAGGGTATCACAAGAACATTTGCCGTAAGATGTAGGAAGAGATTTTTTTTGTACCACAATAATGGACAGGGCCATTTATCAGAAGAACTACCCCAATTAATGATAATTGGAATCGCATTAAGTCGAATCAAGTCATGCCTAAATTTAATTCTTATGTGACAATTAAGATCTTTTCCTTAGCCAAAAAAGAATATTTAGAGTCGAATCATAATAAGAATTAACGAACTAATAAAAGGAGTGTAACAAAAGTGTGAAATAAAGCACCTCAGTTATAGAATTTCAAAAATGAGCAGTTACGGAGCTAATTATAGTGTTCTTAACAAAAGTAAATATAGAAATGTGACGAACAAAATAAGGCAAACATAAATAAAAAATGTTCAAAGCCTTTCTGAATTTTCATGCAGTGTAGGCATATCTAACAAATTTTCAAAAAATAGAAACATAAGAAAATGAAACTTGAAAGAGAAAAAGGAACAGAGGAAAGTTCTGAAAAAGGAAGAAGAATTTGAAAAGAATTATTTGTATTGATATACCTCGGAATGATTACCAGCTGTTAGAGTCTTTCGGCAATTCTCATTTTCACAGCGCAAACACGGGCGATGCCAATCTTTTCCAATCGACGAGACACGCTCAGCTAAAACGAGTCAACTTTCTTTTTTTTTTTTTTTTACCTCAAATATGTTGAAACATAAAATTGAATAACCAGATTTAATCCTGAATTAAATACTGTTGTTCTCTAATATGACTTAAAATTATAAACAATTCTAGGCGTACTATTATTGCAAATTTGAACATTAATATGATTTGTCTGATAAAAAGATTTGCTCAGAATAAATTAACTATAAAAGAAAACCAAAAAAAAATCGATAGAAGGAAAATGCTCATCGTTCACGTAATAAATTTCTATCATAAAAAAAAAAAAAGTACAAACACAGAAAAGTCATCAAATTAAAAAGATTGTATAATTTGATAAATAATATAATAATAAATGAATCTAATCAAGTCAACATTAAACAAATTAACAAACATAAAAGACAAGCATAATCTTACCGAAGTATACAGGTTTATTGCAGCCTGGACAATTCGGCATTTCCAAACGTTTTAATCCAAAATACTCTTATAGACTCTCTGAAAATTCACGCTAATTACATCAATTTTAATAAATCAATCAAACCTAACAAAACAAAGAAATACGTGCAATCTTAAACATAACCGAAGAAAAAGTCATCGGATACTAAGGATACGAACATTATTAAAATGACTGTGTTGAAAAAGGCAACTGACAAAAGAAGAAGAAGGAGAGGGAGAGGAAGAGGAAATTGGATATGAGAAGAATAAAAAAAAAAAGAAAGTATGTGTGGGAAAGTCAAGAGAAAAAAAAAGCGAAAGGCAATTCAATCAATGAAAATCAGAAGTACGGAGGATTCATTTTGAATTCGAATTTTTTGTTACAGGAAGAAAACAAATAAAGGAAAATTTTTCAATTATCTTTTTTCATAAAAAAATAATCTTCCATTCTCTGAAGGAATATATACATATATTTCGAAGAATTATTATTAAACAGAAAACAACGAGAAAAGTCCCTTTTTCTTTTGCAGAATAAGCATAGAAGAATTGTTCATTGATAAGATAAAATGAAGAGAGATAATGAAAGGAACGATATAAATTTAGTGGGAATTTGATGAGTGGAAATAAAATGAAATTGAAATGAACGGCAACGACAAACATCGGATGGTATAGCAATTGGGAAATGGAAATGATAAACGAAAAAGGAAAGGGAAGAGGAACGGAAGAAGGAAGGGAAGAAGGAAGAGAAGGGAGAAAGGGAGGGAAAAGTGGAATAAGGGAAAGTAATAACAGCGGTAGCTTTTCATGGAAGCATCTGATTTCTCATATAAAATAGGATAAAAAAATAGGGAAGAATAAAGTACAGTGGAAAGGAACAGAAGAAGGAAAGAAAAAATAGGATAGAAGAGGAAATAATG